CACAGCTCTTAACAGCAGAACGTTGGTGTGTAAATACTCATAGGAAGGAGCTGGAAAGAGTGTTTACCACCATTAAGGAACTTAACTGGTTATGAAACAGTCCCACATGAGTACTGATCTTTCTATGTGACCTACATAAACAACAACATCAGCAATAAGATTTCTATATACTTATTCGTAATGCTGGTCATCTGTGCCAGAGGGTTGGATTTGCACCGCGCAGCAGCGTCTCCTTCGGCCACGAGCAGAGCTCTGAAACACTAGAACCCTTTCGCTCACAAGGGACCGCCAATATCAACACTAAATAAACAGTTCCTTGTAGTAGCTTGAAGTACTGTTACATAAATCACTTGGTGATAACTCACACACATCAAACTACAGGAATTATTTCAGCGTTCTTCTTCCCCCCTATTGACTGAACAGAGAAGTACGTGGTAGTCGACTGCTTAAAAATATGCATGTATATCAACATGATATGAGATTCCAGGTATCTTTGTCAAATACGGAGAGGGGAAGGGAGGAACAACATTAGGAAGCCGCTTGCTTGCAAAAGGGAAAATATTTATTTAAGCTTCAGATGTGCACACAAGACAAAGAAAATTCAGCCCGAGGAGCAGCGAGCTCGACACACGTCGTCTGCCTGTCACCAGTCCTTTGTGTTAGATCCTTTCTAATGTTTGTCTTTTGTTCCGTGTGGCCTTTTGTTGATCATCAGAAGCTTTAAGAAATGTTTTCACTCTTCGCGAGCGAGGAGTTTCCGATTGTGTCGTTTGTCCACGTTGGTATTTATAACTATTCGAAGGCCATTACAAAATGCAGAGGTGCGATTTGCCACTGAAGACATTCCAAACAAAGAGACGATGTTCAACCACAAGCAACTGAATTCTGCAAACTTAATTTAACCCTGATGTCATCACTTGTATGATAAACCCTGCTCGGACAGAGAGCCCACTTGACAGACCAGAGCCCTTCGTCACAAACAGTTATCACTTCAGGGAGTGCTCAAAGGGGGGGGGGGTTATCGGGTGTTCAGGAAACAAACCAGAGCTCCATTTCCGTAAACCACTTTTGGCCTCTGGTATGACGCTTCTGTGCGGACACCGAACATTGCTGCATGTCCGAGAGCTTTCTGGTACAAACATAAGATGGCACACGGGGCTGGACAATAATTCCACAATTGTCTTCCAATACTGTGAGAACTCAATCTTTGCACACACAGGTCCGACGGTCTACTGGAGACTAACTCTGAAGATCTAAATGAGATCTGACACAAACTCATTTATATCATTCATATAAACTTTCTCAATCAAGTGCTGTGGTAAAATAGAGTGTGCGATGTGCTATAACAAATATCTTTAATGTTTAATTCGGGTGTGGCTTTAAATTCATGGACTCTATGTGCAGTATTGTATGTGTAGCCTACATAATTAAATCAAACTACAACGCTTTTTATAAGTTACAGATTTAATAATACTGTAGTTCTGCTCTTAGTTCTGAATAAAAATAAAACTCCTGAAATACCAGTATTAAGAAGTGCTGCTCTGACAAACACTTCATGTTAATATACAGGTTTTTGGGGACATTTTTGCATTTATTGACACGAGATAGACGGGAACGGATAGAGAGACAAAGCTAGAATCAAACCATGGACAGTCCGAAAAACTGTATGGCAGCATTTCACCACAACAGGAATGTCACCGCAGACAAGTTTGTAATACTCCACATCTCTAAATATTGCAGTACTTTCTACAGTGGCCCATAGTCTCATCACCCTGCTGTTAACTCCTTCAGCAACAGATATAGACTTAACAGACATTTATTTTTATAAAAATATTAGATTGCCACATGTGTTATCAATTGCACCGATTCTGCAGCCCTGCGTTTCATTAAAGACAAATACTGGCAACCCAAAAAAAGGTTAAACCCTAGTTTTCCATGGAGACACTGAAAACAGAATTTTTAATTCTTTTTTTTTTTTAAATGCATTGAAAAGATGAATTTAAAAGAGAAGGGAGGAGAGGGGCTTTCTGGATGATGCTGTTTGAAAATGAGAATAGATTCCAGCTGCTGTGCGTCATCTTAGTCTCATCCACACACACACACACACACACACACACACACACACACACACACACACACACACACACAACGCAA